GAAATACACCGGATATCAACGGCAAATTATTACGATTTAACCTCTAAGTTAATGAATTTGCTTCTATTATACGCTTTTGTAAATATCAGAATAAAGCCGATGATCGATCACGTTTTATCAAAGGACGGCTTGAACTGGGAAATTTCATAAACTGTAAATAAGTACATCTTAAAGATTTATGGTCGTGGGGGTTATTAAGCTGAAGAGAGTTGAAGATAGATCGAGCCTTCGGAAGTTGTAAATAGCTCGTGGTCGCTGTCCGGTGCTGAAATGAAGCGGCGCGAGCAAAGTCGTGTATTTTAATAGAAGCCATCGATTTCTTGCAAATTCTGCTGAAATACATTATATATATAACTCACAATTTCGAATGATTTTACAAGCTCACGTGCATTCAAAATAGCAAATAGTTAAGTAATCCAAGACACAGCCTAATGTTTATGAAGCAGTATTGAAATCGCCCCCGTGACGGGTTCACGTTGTAATATAAAGACGTTTTAGTGCATTATTGGATAAAAGGCATTTATTTTGTATTTTAAAGATGATGCCTTTAATACGCAGGGCTATACACACGATTCTCTTGGTTGTAATATGTACTAATGGGATAGAATAGACCTACATAATAATCGTTTGGTTTTCAGCTTATTATTTCTGATATATTTAGTGAGCAGTTAGACTTGTTGATGATCGTATATCCTCATTGTTTTAGCTAAACAGTTTCTGGCAATGGGGTTTCTTAAGTTTGTCTCATAGTGCTGTGTTTGATTCAATACCTGTTTCCTTGCATTGGATTATATTACCGTTATTATTACTTGTTTTGCTTATATGTTTTGCTTATAAAGGGAGATATTCATAGTGAAACTTAAGTCTATAATAAACTAGAATCCATTCATTCTCGTTATTTGTATTTAATTGCTGTATTGTTCAACTGAAATATGTGGGAAGATAGATTGTAGGCTACTCTTCAATGAAATATAAAACACTTTAAGCCTAACTAACCCTATTCTACCTAAAATTGTATCCTATCATTCTATTTCTGTAGTCTTTAAGTTAAAAGTTCTGAATATTATTAGCATTTTTTAAGCTACAGGAGTGATCAAGATGATAATTTTGTAATTTTAAATCTCAAAAGTCATCTAATAATCTAGAAGTCATTTCACCTTATGTTAAGCACCTATATTGTTTCTAACACATTATTTTACCATTCCGTTGGAGGCCATTTTGAATTTGTAAAATATGGTTTGTAACCGAACACTTTAAACATCTTCCTGTCGCAATATTTTCCTCAAGTGTCTTGTGTGCTACTGACCCATTATTGAAACTACCAGATCTCCGGATCTTTCTCGACTTCGTGTGCAAGTGTTTTAAATATTTCAAATGCTCTTGAAGTATAGTGGAGATTTCCCCTCTGTGTGTCACAGCTGGTACTCAGATGCATCTTAAGCAAAAAAAAAAAAAAAAAAAAAAAGAGAGAGAGAGAGAAGAAAAAAGAATCATCCTGGAAGGCATGTAAGGACATCGGTTAGTCAGCTGGATGTGGTGGCGCAGTAGACTGTGCAGGCTTATGCTCTGAAATTTAGATCACTGTCTATATTTTTGGCATCAAGTTTGTCAGCAACCTGTGGTGTGTCCCATTTCTGTCCATTCACCGAACTCCGATCGGCTCCGGAATATCCGATTACACTTCTCAGCGAATGCAAAAAGCCCGCGTATACACTATTACAAGGCTAATTAGTTTACAGTAATAATCAAGGTTTTTTTATGTACACCAACGTAGTCTGGGAAGGCAGCCATAAATATTGAGCATTTTGAAGGCATGGTATTTTCAATCGCCCACATCATGTATTTTTGTCCTTTTTGCTGTAATTATATATTTGGTTTGGGGGCCTAATATGGAGAGCTGTGGCAGTCTTCCAAGCACTAATGATACATTAATTATATTTCTCACTAAATCGTTTAGACAGTAAGCTGTAGCCTATGTATTCGTAACAGGCAGTTCGGGGGGTGGGCGGCGGGATCAGGTAAACGATCGCGTCCTGTAAGTCAGCATTTTTCGTTTGCTAATTAATAATTTATTTTCAGTTTTATTATCAGTTCTCGCGTTTATCTCGCTAGGGTTGTACAGTTGCCGGATTTTGCATTTGCTGTCCCATATGGAGCCGCTCCTTCAGCCCACGGAAAACTGGCGCACCAGCTGTTTAGCAGTCAGATGCTCTGTGTTGGGAGCCCTGCGTGGGGTAACGTGCAGGAAGGCGAGCGCAATGGTGACAAGTGGAGGAACACTGTATGTTAAGGGGACAGGGAATAATAAACGGTGGCCCATCTCTTTTTATCTTGTCTGTTTGTGCTCATCTGGACGCTTTAATGTAGTTTTGGGGCTCAGCTACGGCGACAAATGCGCGCTTTTATTGTCTGCGCGCTGTTGCATCGCGCAGTGCTCTGAGATCTACTATGTTCAAGGTCAACTATGGTGTTTTCTGTCGTGTCTTTGAGACCCCAGGTTTCTCGGTGATCCTGAGTGGAAAATATTCCTCGAATATAATCTCTGCTTGTGCTTTCTTTTCTACTTGAGTTGTGTTTTTTTTCTGTAGATGATTATTCATTTGAAACCTTGAACAAATCATCCATCTTCCATCCATCAACTGTCTATCCAGTACAAGGTTATGGGAGGGGGACTGGAACCTATCCTGGGTAGCAGAACGCAAGGAGACATACTTGATGGGATACCTGTCCATCGCAGGGCGCACACGCACAATCATATACTATGGGTATTTTATAAGCGTCAATTTGTCTAACACCTTAACATTTTTGGACTGTGGTGTAAAAGACACTCAACATGGGGAGAACATGCAAACTCCACACATGCGCAGTCGGGGGCGGATTCAACCGCCCCCCATCCCTGTACAGTATATGTGACGTAGCCTCTTATCACTTTATGCCTGAATCCCCCCC